CATCAGCTTACGGTATTATAAATATCTATGACGTATCGTATTTAGGACCGCTTGCTTCGTTAAATGCTTAATCGGATTTCGACTGATTAATAATGTGTCAAATAAACAAAGAAATTAAGTGACAAAAATAAACAAATATTACTTTTTTTTCTGTATTACTATAATAAAGTATCATTAAAAATAATAAATTCAAAATAGAAAAGAAAAAAAAAACCCAAATGATCAAGAACGTCGGCGAAAGATAACGATAAAAATTTTGCCAAGGACATTTTTTTAAAGTTCACCTATCTAAAGTGGTTTTAACATTTTTCACTTAGTTTTTTTTTTCAGTTTTATGTTGTTTCGCTTCCTTTATTTTTGTTTTTAGATACATTTTTTCTCGTGTATTTTAATGGTGTCAATTCCAGCCTGATATCTTGCTGATTGCAGTGGCTGCGTTTGTTTGGAATTTTGATTCAGTTTTTTTTATTTTATATTTTTTTTTCACCAGTAAGTTTATTTTTATTTTATTTTTATTTTATGTTATTTTTATTTTATATTTATTTTATTTTTAATTTTTTATTTTATTCTTATTTTATTTTATGTCATTTTTATTTTATTTTTTATTTGTATGTTTATTTTTATTATATGTTTTTTTTTATTTTATTTTATTGTTTCCATTCTTGAGGCATAGAGTTTGCCACGGAGACGACATTTAATCCGGAGAATACGCAACCGGAAATGACGCCTCGACCAAATTTTATTCCTACATATTCAACATCGTTGCCATTTTCTTTCTATTTTTTTTTTTTCCCAAAAAATTCTTAAAATTATTTTTCGGTAATGAGCTATTTTTTCCCCATCAGAATCTCCTCATTACATTTCCTTTATGTTTAGTAAATTTCGAATTTAGATATCATTTTATTACAACACACACACACATACACACATAGATATAGTATCCGGTAGGTGAAACCTAGGTAGATAGGTTCTACCTCTTCATATATATATATATATATATATATATATATATATATATATATATACGCGTATGGGTGTGTGTTGTTTAAAACATGTCTTTTGTTGTTGCTCTCGTCGATTTATTCGTTTTTATTCTCTGTTTGTCTCCCAAAGACTCATATACTCTAAATATTAGCGTATAAATCGACTAGGAGTTTTAGCTCAAAAGTTAGGCCTGCATCAACCGTGTATAGGTCGAGCCCAAACATAGGCTAGGACACCAGTGGCCCAAAACAGCCCCACAGGTAATTTAATTTAGACTGCAGTAAACGATGACCCGTGCAAAAATCTACATAAGGTCACACCACTTACCTGTATATTGAAACACTAACCGTAATATCATTCTGCATGCGTTGCTTAGTGATGGAATGGAATAGCCTGTAATGAGCGACTAAACTACAGGTAATAACAACCTATAAGTATCTGTAAGTCAACTGACTAAAGAATCTAGCTGGGATCTTTTCAGCTATACAGTGAGACTCTGTACCTTCGGGCAGAGAGGAACCCGGACGGGGCTATGCCGAAGGTCACAGTCTCGTTCGGGGAGGTAGACCGACCCGATCACGTTTTACAGGGGAATTTTTGCCCGAGCTTACGGGATCGGGTACCCCACGTTAAATTTGGCCTTGTGCCACATCTGACCGCGTGGGGCAGTTGGCAAATATCGTAGCCCTCGATCTTTAGATCAATCGATCTATCATTTTCAGCTGATTTGTATCAGTTAATTCCGTCCCATTTCATTTTCGTATATATATCGTCGGTGAGAAGCGACCCCAGAGTGCGGCACCTTTGGAAAGTGATTGAAAAACGCACCACGTGATGTGGTGATTAAAATTGGATTGACGGAACTATATGTAAACCGTCGTCGGTTGTCTTAGCAGGAGGGCACAAACCAGCTTGACGGAGGGTTTAAGCGTACTGCCCTTGACCAAACTTATGATCACGCCAGGTAATGCGCTGTCTAACCTAAAACACTAAATTGGTCTACTTAACATAGTTGAAGTTTGAACCAGACGTGAGCTCTGTGCGTGCTGGAAAAACACAAATATGCCGGAACAGAGGTATCTGCAACAGGAATTTACTATCCGCCCTCGCATACAGGCATACTCGGATACGAGAGGCCAGAATGTGTGTGCCTTTATGTATGTATGTTCATACGTTCGCGTTTCTGTTTTCGTCGTTCTGGATTTTAAATGTATATGTATATGTGATGTATGATATCTTGATATATATATATATATATATATATATATATATATATATATATATATAGCAGACAATGAACGTCTATTATGTCTGATCATGAGCCGTTATAATGTTAGAATATTTGCTTTAATTTCTGGTGAAAATAAAGACAACAGATGTCCAACATTTGGTCCTAAGCTTTCACCTCACCAATACAATATATATATATATATATATATATATATATATATATATATATATAACTAGACTCGTTTCGAAAAAACCCTCGAATTTTTGATTTGCTAATCAAATCAATCTCGAGGGAAAAAAAAGTTTTAAAAAAAGAAAGAGCTACAAACATGAACATCTGTCGACAAAAAAATCGCACAGATGCAGGTCTGAAGCTCAAAGAAAAAACTCCGATACGAGTAAACAACTAACTAACAATGCGCTCAATACAACCGTAGAGCAGACCTAGATACACCTAGTGAGCCAGACAAACCTACCTAGGTTTCACCTAAACGGATCATCAGGGAAAATTTGGCTAACGAGGCAAAGAGAAACACATATATTTTTTTTTGTCACGTGGTATGATTTTAGCTATCACCTATAAATATGTGTTTTCTTTGCCTCGTTAGCCAAACTTTCCTGACGATCCGTTTAGGTGAAACCTAGGTAGGTTTGTCTGGCTCACTAGGTATATATATATATATATATATATATATATATATATATATATATGTATTGGTGTTACATATCATTATGTAAACATATATATATATATATATATATATATATATATATACTGTATTAAATTACATATTATTTAAACATATATATATATATATATATATATATATATGAAGAAATATACTCTAAACTTGTGCTATATTCATAGGATAAAGTGCTCAGTAGCAGAGATAGAGTGTTTGTAAATATAAAAGTGAACATTAAAGACCTGACGATTGTCTTTAGCATGAAACAGCTTGTCGCCACTAAGTGTTGACTTTTATGTTCATATATATATATATATATATATATATATATATATATATATATATATATATATATATACACGGAGACTGAAGCAAAACAATTTTGATTTTTAGTGGTGTACTGATAGAAGTCATTTAAGGGAAAGCAGACATTGTGGTTGAGTACTCAATATCGGAGATAGTGTTAGAGCGTTAAAAGAATTTATATGAAGATGTTTTTATTTTCACTTAACTATACAGTGTATTTCCGTCATGTTGATTTCGAAGTTTCGTTGTCAAATAGATACGTGCCACTATTCACTCGGTGTTGGACTTTCTGCTGGTACTTCTCGATATTTTATTACTTATAGATGGTAATTTAAGTGTGTTGCTTTTGCTTTTTCTTTTTTCTTTTCTTTTAATGGGTGTCATATTATCCAATTTTCGTCTTCTTTCTTTTCCTTTCCTTTCTTTTATTTTTTCCGCCCTTTTCTATCGACCTCTCATTTACTGCTAATCTCTCGTGCCGTTGTTTTTCTCGTGGTTTATTGATTTGACTATTTAAATGCCACGGTTAGATTTTTTGTGTGCATGCTTCTGCGTACGTGTGTTTATATATGCGCATGCATATATATATATATATATATATATATATATATATATATATATACACCTGTGGCTGTGTGATCGTGTGTGCCCGTCTGACTGTATATTTGTGTGTGTTCATACATTCGCGTTAACTGTATGTATGTTCTTTTTCTTACCTTTATTTTACTGTGTTTGTGTTTTTTGGTTTGTTTTTTTTTTTTTTTTTGTTATTTTAATTATTGTTGATGTTGGTGTGTACTCTCTGTTGTATTCTCGCTTTTCTTCTCGTCTTTTTATATTAACGTATGTATATTTTAGCTTGTTGTAAGGAGTGAAGTCGGGGTGTTTTGTATGTGTTGGATTTGCGTATGTTTTTTATAGTTGGGGAGTTGGGTATTATTTTGTTTTTGATATTGTGGTTGCCCTTGTCTGGTTGGTTTATATTTGGAATTGGTATTGGTTAAATGCTAAGTAAGTTGGTTTGTATTTGTGCTGTTGTAGCGTTTTAAGTTGTATCTTTTTACTTCGTTTATATTACTATTTAAATAGCAAATTAAATATCTGAATTTCCCCGTTATTTCATTTTTCTTGTTCAGTAAGTTGTTTGCTTTTTAAAGGTGATGATTCTTAATTTTTTCTCCAGACACAATTTGCAATTTCTGGTACTCATTATGTGAGGTTACTCTTTTTATGATTTCCCATTTGATTTTAATAGTGATTTTTTTTTCCTTTTTGATTCCGTATATATTTTGATAGAGTTGTGTTGTTTTTGTATTTTCTGCTTTAAATGAAGTTTGTGATTGATAAATCTTTCTTTAAAGGCTGTTTCTGTAGCTCCGATGTAGTTTTTTTCTTCCGTGTCCGTGTTGTTTTTTTTCGATAGCTTTATATATTATTATATGTTTTCAATTGGTCAATTGCTTTTGTTTTCACAATTGTATATTTTGTTGTTATTTTGATGTTCCATTTTGTTGTGATGATTATTTTCGTTGTTGAGTATTTTTTAATTGTCCCCAAAGAAATACTTGCAGCCCTCACCTTGTCTCTTAATACTTTTTTTTTTCTTTCAAGTCAAATAAGACAAGCAAACATACTTCATGGGGCAACTTTCGTTATCCTTTACTAGAAACCTGACATTGATATATAGCGAGTGTCCTGCTTTTGTATAATTTGCTTTATCTAATGTAGAGTAAATACATTGTATATTCCTAGTGTACTAATCAATTGGCCTTGTGTCAGACTATTCTAATCTAAATGCCAGAAATGTTAATTAACATTTTTATCCTGATATTTGATATAGCATTGTCTTCGTATCTATGTTTTATTTTTCTATCTATCGTTTTTGAATTCTTTTAGTATACATATCTATATCGGGGTACACGTCCACTCCCCACACTCCTTTGTGACTCTTGCTCTCGACTCTTCAGGCGTATGCTGGCCCTTCACAAACAACTCCGCCATCGCCAACAGAGGGTAAAAGAGAATAATAGAGAGGATGCTGACCCCGATGCTCGGATGTTAACGGACGCCGACTACTTTGACACGTTTATTGAAAAATGAAACATTACTTGAATGAGAGACATGCGTGAAAATTAAAGAAAAAAAACAAAAACAAAAAAAACACTTGATCATTTTTAGAAGAACATTATTTTATCGAACGGAACAAAAATTGCATTTTTGGGTCACATCTCAGCTCTTCATATATGGAGCAAAGATGATTGCACCCATGATGTAAAAGCATAATCGCCATCTTTAAGCGATTGATAAAGCTTTCGACTAACATTTCCCTGACAGATATGGAATGAAGTTCGCCGGGTACATCGTGCAAATCTTTGTGTCTATGTCAACCCTCATGTTTTTATCAACTAGTGTATCATAAAGATGACTTTCCAACTCAGAAATTTTAATTAAATCTCTTTTCCATGCAAGAGAACTCTAACAAAAAATCACAAAATATCACTTTTTTATCGTTTGTAAAATCGAAAATTCATTAGGATTCATTACATGTATTCATTATTAAAAATTTACCAACTCACAAACAGTTTCATCTGTTTATTATCAACCGGCAATCAAGTCGAACGTTGAAAGATTTGTACCACCTGTGACCGAAAGCGCATGCGCGAATGTACCATGTTTAACTTTCAATATCTTGAAAGCCCAAACCGCGACAAAACCGATTTTCTTCTCTATTTCTTTTATAGTTAGCTTTATTTTGACTTCCTGTTGACTTATTTTACATATTCCCGTTATCTATTAATCAATCGAGCTATCATTTTCAAATGATTTGCATCAATGCACTATGTTTCTTTCATTAATTCTGTCCTATTTCATTTTTGTATATATTTCTGTTTTATTTATACACGTTTTTTACATTCACTTTCACTTCTTCCATACTTTTCCTTCAGCTTCTTTCCATCGAATATTCTTTTAAATATAATCGCTGTTTTCAGGTTTTTTTTCCTCTATATTTCAAGAAAGGATTTCAAACATTTATTTATTCGCAACCTCGATTTGAATATTCTTCTTTTATTTATATATCCACTGGCCATTTTTATTTATTTATTTATTTTTTTGTATTTTCTTCTATTCAATTTTTATCCTTTATTTCTTTCTTGTAACTTTCTTCTGTTTCATTTTCTTTCTTTCGTTCTTTCGTTCTTTCTTTCTTTCTTTTTTATTGCATATTTTTTTCTTTTTCATCTTCGTTTTTTTGCCTTTTTCCTCTTTGTCGACTTCTTTTTATCTTCTATTTGATCTTCTTTTATTTGTATTTTTCTTCTATTTAGGAATATTTCTTTCTTTATTTTTTGTATTTTCCTATGTCGTTTTCTTTGTTTCTTTCTTTCTCAGAGATGTTTTCTATTTCGTCTTTTTCTTTCTTTTTAAATTTCTTTCTTTATTCTTCTATTATTTTTCTTTCTTTTTGTTTTTTTCCTCTATTTTCTCATATTTCTTTCATACCTTCTTTTTCTATTTCATCCTCTTTTTGTATTTTTCATACTTCTACGGAAGTTTTCATGTAGTTTGCGACCATTTTGTACTGGCCAGCGTGAAAGCCAACAGATGACTGACACGAATGTTAACTAGTATTCTAGCATGCAAAAAAATCGATAGCTGCATTCGTCACAAGTGGGAAAATTTTAAATCTGCAGGGCACTTTACTCCAATTGGCTCATTCGCTTGCTTAAACTCAACGTTGATTCTGATTCCGTAGAACTGAGTTGGGTGTGAAAAAGTATTTGTTGTTAACATTCTTTTTTCATTCGGTTTTTCCAGTTACGAGTCCTTTTTTAAAGCTGATCGTTTTGTGTTTATTTTGTTTAGTTCTTTTTTTCGTAACAGATTTAATGTTTTGTATAGAGCTTAGAAAAAATTCGCAGTGTGAGATAGGCAAGAAGTAAGACATGTAGCAACATCAGCACGGCAAAGGTCACTTCTTTAAAGGCAAGGAAGGTCAAAAATATTTTAAGTCAAGTGATAGCGATTGCTGTATGAGTCGTACGATTTTAGAATCAAGCACGGGCAACGCAGGGTTATGATGCTAGTATATATATATATATAAATTTACTAAGAGACTCAAACATAAAATTAACTAATATTTGCTCTTGGATTTCAAAGATAAACCCAAAGTATAGCTAAATATTCAACTGTAAGAAAGAATATTTAAATTCTAAAGTGTAGATATCACTGATTACATATTAATTCAAGTATTACAGAAACCATTCTTTAGTTATATACCCAAATACAAACACAACCAGTGTTTACGACGTACAGCCTCAAGTATCAACACGAGAACTGTACCTCAAGTAAAAATAGACCCATTAATTTTGTATTGTCTCGAGTATAAAAATGACCAAGTTGTACATAATGTCCCAAGTATAAACAGAACGAATGTTTACATTATTTATCTGGTATAAACAAAAATATTTTTGTATATACTCTAGAAATATTTCTAATAAACTCAACTATAACATTCAATTGTGTTAACCTATGCACTCGAGTATAAAATCTATGAATATTTCATATACACTCAACTATAACACCTAATAACGTTAACTTAAAGTCTCGGGTATAAAATCTACGAATATTTGTAATAGTCTAAACTATAACACCGAATAATTTTTACTTATTGACTCGACAATAAGCCCTAGAAATATTACTTACAGATTCAAGTATAACTCCCAATAATGTTAACTTATCGACTCACGTATAAAATCTAGGAATATTTCGTATAGACTCATTTATATCTTCCAATAATTTTAACTTAGACTCGAGTATAAACACTTCAAATATTTCTTATAGACTCAAGTATAACTTCCAATAATGTTGACTTACAGACTTGACTTATAAACTCTTCGTATATTTCTTATATACCTAAGTATAATTCCCAATAATGTTATCTTATCGACTCAAGTATAAACCTTTCTATAGCATGATCAATCCGTATAGTCAAATAATATTTACTAATCTGCTCTATATCCATAACTACTCTTTACCTATAAACAAACGTATAACAAAAGAAAACGAAACAGACTTCTACATAAAATAACCCAAGAGGTGTTAATATGCAATAAAAGCCACCAATCTGACCTAAGGTAATAAGTGTAGTTCCCACAGTTTTCATAATATTTATTTTTTTGTCTCAACAAGCCACATACATAGGGAAACTTTGATCATTAGGTTAGCATTTCTGTAACCTTTACTAATAAACTGTTGATATATATCGTGTACTGTGCCTCTTTTATCCTGTTGTTTATCTGAAGTAGCATAATTAGTTTGGTTATCCCTAGCGTACTCATGTTTACGGCCTGACAATACCTAATTGGTAGAAACCGCGGGAATAGAAATGTTGGCGTTCCAATTATGTTATATCTTACTTCGTTTTATATTTTCGTTTTCTGAAAATTGTATTAGACACTTTTTTTTAAATAATTTAAGCCGTTTTTTGGAAAATATTAAATTTTGTCAGAAGTAGGATTTCGTTTTAAATAGTTAAATATGACAGAGAAAGAAAATTTAATTATTTTTTTTTTTATTTTTTTTTTCAGCTTTCTTACATTTTTTTTTCATTTAGTGGGCGTAAGAGAGTGCAAATATTGTCCATATTATCCATTGTCCCAAGCGCTTTCGCCTATTACTTTGGCCATTTTAAAGGAGAGGCTGTTAATTTCTCTTCAGGTTTGACTCTTTCAGATGTAAATTTTGCGAGTTTTTTTGCATACTAAATGTTTTAATACGTGAGACAATGAAATCAGAAGACGTATTGGGATGGGAAAAGTGCCTTTCAAAAGCTAAGCATAGGATTAAATATGACAGACAAAGAAAATTTAATTATTTTTTTTCAGCTTTCTTACATTTTTTTTTTCATTTAGTGGGAGTAAGAGAGTGCAAACATTGTCCATATTATCCATTGTCCCAAGCGCTTTCGCCTATTACTTTGGCCATTTTAAAGGAGAGGCTGTTAATTTCTCTTCAGGTTTGACTCTTTCAGATGTAAATTTTTCCGAGTGTTTTTGCATACTAAATGTTTTAATACGTGAGACAATGAAATCAGAAGACGTATTGGGATGGGAAAAGTGCCTTTCAAAAGCTAAGCATAGGACTAAGCATGAGAAAAAGTACTGTTGCCATATATGGTCTGGTGCCCCCGTTGTTCATCTCGGGGTTCTCCAAAGACGGATATGCAATGTGATATCTCCTGACCTGGCATATCGACATTCTCACAGACGTGATGTGCCTTCACTCTATCGTTTTTACAAAGATTTTCACGGTAACTGCTCTGACGATCTATTGCCACTGGTGCCTCAGCTGAATGAATTTAAGCTGCTAGGTTTGTATCTCGGTCACACCCTTTCACTGTCGAAACAGTTAAATGTAACCGCCTTTTCTCCTCCAACAGTTTCTTCTCTCGCACTTCCCAACAGCGGAACTCCCTTCCTCTTACTTGCTTCCTTGATTGCTATAATCTTCAAATATTCAAATGTAATGTCAATTGACTGATGCTTTAACCTTGATCACCGTCCTTCTCTTTATCCTTTCCTCAAACACCCCTCTTTACTCTCAATTTCACTCTCTGTAGCGTCCTAGTGGCACTCACGTCTTGCTTGCAGTGTTATACTTAAAAAAAGAACAGAGTATTGAACTGCTACCTGATATCCGTCAAGCTACATGGGAAAGAATATGGTTCTTCAGAGAAACCCGGATGATATCAGCAAGCGAACATGTGATCAACGACGAGGTTTTAAAGAAAATCGAAACAAAAAGGAAACATATTATACCTAGCACCAGGAAGAGATAGTTGACATTTCTCTGGCACGTAATGAGGAAGGAGGGCTTGGAAAATCGGATACTCACAGGATAGATAGAGGGACAAAGAAAAGCAGTACGTAACTTACTTGATGAACTTGATCAAATGGATTCTAGAATAGGGTTTAGAAGGAATAACAAAAAGACAAAACTCATTAAGACCGAAAAATGACAAGAAGATGTGGAGGGCCATGATGTCTTACGCCCTGAAAGGACACGGCACATAAAAGAAGAAGGCCCTCTTTTCTCATTAAGTGTTCCAGAAATGCCAGCTGTCTGATTCTGATTTTTAGCTTCTGTATTCTCGTACACTTAGTTAAATACCAAATGTTACCCCGGGATATCTACATGACTTTTTATCTGCTTTTTTTTCCAATTCGCCAGCCTGAACCGGCCCACTTTCGTCTGCTCCGAGAAGAAAAACTATAAGAGAATAATACATTTTCCGAAGTTCAAGTTAACAAATAAAGAAAAAAAATGTCCATGTGGCCCCAAGCAATCGTATTTCACCTTCAATATCTTGGGAACAACGTCGAATAAGTGAACACTCGCATCTTTTTTAATCAATAACACTCACACCCTTGTGAAGAAAAGTCGCGCAAAGGTATTGTGGGAAGTGACGAGCCACTCTTAGCGCGTTTGGATAACGAGGAAAGGGGAGATTTAAAAGATCTCGGCCTGACCAAGTAGCACTTAAATAATCTAATATTTTGTTTTTCATTTGAGTGCATCAGTGCCACTGAAAAGAATTATCGGTATAGTGCGAAACAAAAGGTTCGTGATAGATAGATAGATAGATAGATAGATAGATAGATAGACAGATCCTGAAACAGATATGAATAGCGTGAAACAGATAGGAAAAAACTTGCATATTAACTGATTGAAATAGAAAAAGACAGCGACAGATGTAGACTAAAAAAGATATGAATAGAGTGAAACAACAAATTGAGATTAATAGAAATAGATAGATTAAAATAGATAGATAGATACATATTAAACGAATGAGATAGATAGATAGATAGATAGATAGATATTAACAAAATGAGATATATAGATAGATAAATAAATAGTTCGATAGATAAATAGATATTAACAGAATGAAAAAGATAGATAGATATTAATAGAGTGAGAAAGATATGAACGTCTTGAGATTTATTGAAATAGATAGATAGATAGATATTAACAAAATGAGATATATAGATAGATAAATAAATAGATAGATAGTTCGATAGATAGATAGATATTAACAGAATGAAAAAGATAGATAGATAGATATTAATAGAGTGAGAAAGATATGAACGACTTGAGATTGACTGAAACAGATAGATAGATAGATAGATAGATAGAGTTGAAATAGATTTAAATAGAGACAGATATGAATATACTGAATTAGATAGATACATATTGAGATAGATAGATATAGACTGAAGCAAATATGAATAAAGTGAGACAGATATGAACACATTTAGATATACATTGAAATAGATAGATAGATAGATAGATATAATTGAAATAGATTTTAATAGGGTGAGACAGATATGAGTAAAATGAATTAGATACAGATTGAGATAGATAGATAAAGACTGAAATTGATATGAATGAAGTAAGACAGATATGAACACATTGAGATAGATATACATTGAAATAGATAGATATTAACAGAATGAGATTGATAGATATTAATAGAGTGAGAAAGATATGAACGATTTGAGATTGATTGCTATAGATATACATTGAAATAGATAGATAGATAGAGAGATAGATAGATAGATAGATAGATATGGTTGAAATAGATTTAAATAGAGTGAAGCATATATGAATAAACTGAATTAGATACATACAGGTTGAGATAGATTTAGACTGAAACAGATCTGAATAAATTGAGACATATGAACGCATTGAGATAGATATATATTGAAATAGATAGATAGATAGATAGATAGATGTAGATTGAAATAGGTATGAATAGAACGAAACAGATACGAACAAACTGTGATAGAATGATAGAAATAGACAGATTGAAATAGGTAGTTATTAACATAATGACATAGATAGATAGATTAAAATGCATAAGAATAGAATGAAACATGAACATATTGAGATAGATATAGATTGAAATAGATAGATGGGCGGGTGGATAGATACGTATGTCAATGATAAAATATACCTTGTAGTCTTAAGTATTTCCTTTTAACTTTTTTTTTGTACTATCGATATTTTTCACTTTCTTATTCCAACATTTCCGCCATCTTCACCCTCAGTCAATGTTGATCTGAATTCTTTATTTATCCACCGTGTTATCTCCCTTGTTTTATTGTTTTCTTTTTTTTTCCTTCAATATATTTTTTCGCTAACTTTAAGGTTTCAATTTGTGTTATTGTTCGGTAACTTTTCCTTCACCGACAATATCGTAAAAAAATAAAATGATTACTACAAAAAAGACTATGCATTCCAGAGGAATAGTGAGTTCAATTCCAATGCTATGTGCAAGGGTAAATCAAAAGAAATAGGGGCTGAGGGATTCGCTTATCGTCCCTTTCACACACCTCTCCGATCTTTTGAACAGGAGTGGAGGTTTATCCCCTGTTTACTGGTTAGGATCAGGTTACCGATTCCTTCTAAGTTCTACTTCCACACTACACTTCTACCATCTCTGAGTGAAATGTTACTCAATAATTAAATCGTGACCTATAAAATCTAGAGTTAGGCGTTATATTTCCTGCATAGTCCCAAGAACTTCACTTGAATCGGTGAACATTTAAAAAAAAATAAAATAAAATTCAAGGTATCGGTTTGATGTTAAGAAAAAAAAAACCCAAAAAAATCCCACTAATGTTGAAATTATGATCTTACCTACTTTGGTACGCCATGTATACCACAAATGTTGTCTTTTATTTTCTCTATAAATAAAGTTCTGCCAAGCGCATTTTAGGTCAGATTATCCTATCACAATTACCTTCAGTACGTCCTGATTGTGTCAAATTTTCTAAGCCGTCTATCCTCATTATGTACACTAGAAATTTCGACTATTTTTTCTGATGTTAAATATAAACGTCCTTTTTGTTTCCATTTTCTTTAAAACGTCGTCATTGCTCAGGTTTTCAATCATTGGTATACTCAGCATCCTCCTGTAGAAACACATTCGTGTCGCCAGAGGTATCATCTTCATCTGTGATGAGATTACCCAGCATTCAATACCACAGAGGACTGATATTGCATAAAAGATCAACACTTTTTTTTTTTGTTCTATTGTTTCTTAAAACTTTTGAAATCCGAACTTTTGGAATCCGAACATCTGGAATCACTAATATTGGAATCCGAACTTTTAGTATTCGAAATTTGGAATCCGAACTTTTGGATTCTGAATTTTTGGTATCCCAACTTTTGGAATTCTAACTTTTGGTATCCCAACTACTGGAATCGCAAGTTTTGGAATCCAAAATTTTTGGAATCCGATTTTTTGGATTCTGTATTTTTGGAATCCCAACTTTTGGAATTCCAACTTTTGGTATCCCAGCTATTGGAATCGGTCGTTTTGGAATCCAAAATTTTGGGATCCGAACGTTTCGAATCCGATTTTTTCGAATCTGAACTTTTGGATTCTGAATTTTGAGAATCCCAATTTTTGGAATTCCAAATTTTGGTATCCCAACTATTGGAATCGAACATTTTTGGAATCCGAACTTTTGGAAAAATAAATTTTGGAATCCGAACTTTTGGAATCCCATTTTTTGGAATGCCCACATTTGGAATCCCAACATTTATGTATTCTAACTTTTGCATTCACAACTTTCGCTATCCTAATGCGAATTTCGGTGTTACACTTTTCGATCCTTTCTTAAAACCCGACATTTACGTTGTTGTCCTTGCCCGATTTTGGTATCTCCACTTCATGATTTGCACGCTGTCTTGTTCCTTTCGTTGACAGCTATACATTGTCTGCTTACCATTTATTTTTAGTCCTTGCTTTTAGCTTTCCTTCACTAACTTTTGTAGGAATTCTTGTAGACTCCTTTATGTTTCTACAATCAACACTTTTTGATCTGCACATCTTATGTTGTTAAGATTGTGGCCGCCAACAATGAATGTTGGCAGGTCGAATAAGTTCGATGAGAAGACATCCTTTTCTTGTACCCCTATCTGTTTTTGTATATTTTAACGGAAAGCAGCTCGTATTTAGGAATCGGAGAGCCGAGGTCGAATTCCTGCCGAATACATTACATTCACTTACGTGCTAATGGCCTTGGGAAAGGCATGAATCATCAACTTCTTCCCCCCAGCCTCTCCCAGGCCAGGTTCTATAGACTTGGGTAACAACAGAAAGTAATGCCAAACTACT